AACTTTCGTCTCTAGGTCGTGAAAGGTCTCATCATTAGATTTTAGTTTGAGGTTTATACAAAGAGTCACATGTGTCATTCCAAATTCCTACTTCCCAAGAGGATGTCTCTTGAGACGTATTTCTTTTGCGGAACTTCACCGACTCTCTTGAGATGTATCCCTTTGGCTAATAGACGAGCCTTCTTTCTAAGGGTTTTTTGAAAATATATTTTTTATAAAGTTTAAATCCCATCATAAATGAATAAATATAATGAAATGATAAAATAAGTAAGAAATAAATAAATAAGAAAGAATAAAAACCCTAAAACCTAAAGGAGAAACTTCTAAACCTAAGGTTGAGTCCCCAACAAAGTCGTCAACTGTTGCAACTAGTTTTTTTAATCAGCATCGACACACTTAATTTTTATCCTAAAGGAAAGGAGTATAAAGGAATAACCCTAAAGTTCATAGGTTCTAGATTTGGACTCGGTTCTAGACGATGGGAATGTGTTAGGCACCCCTCATCTACTTTGTTCATAAGGATACTAGGTTTAGAAGCGCGTTTTTAGGGAATTGAGTTTTAATTTTAATTAGGGGGACTCGCCACGATTTTAATCATAAGCCTATGTATCCTCTTAGGAGGAATCAGAGTCCCATTTTATAGTTCACGGTTGGTTTGTGTTTTTTATGGATTACGCAGATGTTTTAATTCCCCCCGTGCTTAGCCTGAGTACGCGAATAGCAGAGAATTTGGGCTAAGCGCATTGTAAATTAAAATATACTTCATACTCCTTTTCGAAAATTAATTGTTAGAAATAAATTAATTTACGAAAAAAGATTTGATGTTTGGTTGAATATTTTTAAGTGTTTTAATTATAAAAAATAATTATTTAAAAATGCATGATTAAAGATATAATTTAATGCAATAAATAAATATATTTTTTATAAGTTGGAAAAAATTAATTTGATTTATAATAAAAAATATTTTTAAAAATAGAAAATATAAATAATAAAATAAATAATAGAGGAAATAAATTTAAAAAACGTGGGGTGTAAATATCATTAAGCCAACAAGAGAGGAGGGTGTAAATAGCATGCACTAAAATTCAGATATTGAATTTGGCCCAGCAGCGCAGGGGGTGCAGGTTTGGACATACTAGTAAGATGGGGGGGGGGGGGGGCGCAAGATTAAGGGTCCAAGTCCAGATATTGGACTTGGTCCATTTGGCCAGGGGGTTTGAAAATAACGTGTGCTAGCAAAATACAAAAGAGGGGGGTGCGAGTACATATGGGCCTAGCCCAAAGAGCGTTGGGAATATGTTTAGCAGTGTGGGTGGGTGTACATGGGGTGTAAAATAGGCTTGTGCTAAATTAATCATTTGATGACGATCGCAGAGTCATGATGAAGGGTGCAAGATAAGCAATATGGGACCGCATGCATAAGATCATAACAGAGTTATATTTTCAATTTTGACTTAATTTTTAGCCCATTTTAATTTTGTCTCTCTCTCTTTCCTCACTAAATTTCTCTCGCCCTTTATCCTCTGTAACAAACTTACAAACCCTAGCCCCAAACCCCGACAGCGGTAATGCAACCCTAATTCAGATCCCGACGGTACAAAATTAAACCAACCCTAATCGTAACCACACACACCCTAACCCCCGAATCCCCAAGAACTAAATAAATCGCTAAATAAAAATCACAATAGCTAAGTGTTCTTTACCTCTATCATTGTGATCTCTTTCCTCTGCTTCTGGTTTCTCTGATTGCTGACCCTTTCGTCTTCTATGGATTACAGGTGTGGCGGTGCGGTGGATGATGAGTCTAGCAGCGGTGATTGAAGATTGAGCAGTGAAGGATGAAGAATTTAGGGTTTCAGAATTGAAACCCTAAATCTATGTGAAGAGAAAGCTTCTCGTGAAACTTCAGGCGTCCTCAGTCAAGCCTTTGTTCTTGTACTCCTTCTGTCCAGATTCTCTTTTGTATAATTTCTTCTCCGTCTATTTTTCTATAATGTCTTGTCTATTTTATAATGATTTAGGATTAATAATTTAGGAATCAATTTAAATTCGTTTGATTATGTTTGTCTTAGAATTTTAGGAAAATAGTGAACTTTTCTGTAAATTAGTTTATTTCTGTACAATAACTTGAATGATGTTTAACTATGTTTCCTTTTATATTCTATTTTTGTATCAAAGTTTTGATTGATGTTTAATTCCTATTTTTTTCTTTTTGTCGATCTGTACATCATAAAAAACATGCGATGCTCTTTCTTAATCCAAATAGTGTATGTTGGCCAGCTTTGGGCCATACGTTTCTTCTATTAGGGCCAACAATATGCTTTGTAACAACATTTATCTCAATCCAGATTGGAACTGGGCCTGCTAAAACCAATAAAACAAATATTTTCAAAATAGGGGAAAAATGATACAGACCTTAATGCTTGGTAATGGGTTTGGGCCACTTGCGTGTTTGGTCTGCTACGAAAAAAACTTTCAACATTTTTCTTTTAACAAAAAACCAACATCATCTTTAATCAAAGGCTAAGATATAATATTAATAATAATAATTATTAATGATGTTAGTAAGAACAAAGAAGAAATGAAATGGGCCAGAAGTTCATTTAATTGGGCTTTAACAAACACAAAAAGAAATTTTCTATACACCCCCTTCTTCAATATTTAAAAACGGACAAAAAATCATATGGGTCCCTTCTAATTTATATTGGGCCTTAACAACAAAGAAAATTTTTATACACCCTAAAAAGAATGGAATTTAAATGGGTCTTATTAGTGATTTGTCCACACCTTGTTTAAAAAAAATACACCCCTCATTAACTTGAAATGGACATATCTTTTAAAAACTTAATGGGCAATCAGATATTGATGGTCCATTTTAAAACCAACACCCCTTCTTTTATGTTTTACACCCCTGCAGAAAAACAAAAATTAAATAATACGATTAATTTAAAGGAAACCTAAATATAAATAAGGGTAGGGAAAATTTGGGGTATGACAAAGACCAAATCGAATAAGATGGTTAATTGATTTTGATGAAGTTAGACCTAATTTTGGTGTATTTGTGACATCCCCCTTTCCCTTTCATCTCATCCCCTACTTATTTCCTTTTTAAGTGATCATTAGTGGCACAAGCTTTATGCTTGAAATTGTCCAAGTATGATTGATTATTAAACCAAGGTTCAAAACATTTGAAGCTTGATGTTAGGAGGATTTGATTTTATAAATCCTCTAACAAGTCTTCATCAACTTTGACCTAAGTTCAATCACTACAAGAAAATTAGTGTTTAACGACACAAAAATTGCGACAGTTATGTGATAACTGTCGTAATTGACATATAGAGACAGTGTTTACGACAGTTGACACCAACCGTCCCTAATATTTATTTTGCGACGGTATATTTAACCATCATAATATTATTATTACGACGGTAAAACAACCGTCGGCCCCCATTTAACACTTTTAACATTGATTTTTCACCAACAACTAGTCACGACGGTAAAATTAACCGTCCTAAAAGGCATATCACGACGGTAAAGCACCCGTCGCACCCTTAAACCTTTCACGACGGTAAAATCATCCGTCCTAAAATTCATTTCACGACGGTAAAACAACCGTCGCACCCAAAATTCAATTTGCAAAGTAAAAAAGAAAAAGAAAAAAAAAGAATTATTTTGTTTTGCACAAGCCACTCGCCCACCGTGTTTTTCCTTTTCCTCGATTAGTCTCCAACTTTTATTTTGAAAAAAGAAAACCCCTTGTCACGTTCGTGTGGAAGATTCTCTGAATTCCCTGTCCCTTTTCGCGAGAAAACAGGAAACAGCCAACAAATTGAACTGAAGTGGAGAAGAAACGAGCGAGTCTGTGTTTGTAACTCGTGTACGCTGAGTCAAATCGTTCTTTGCAATGGAGAGGTTAGAGTTGAAAGAGGTTCAGAAACTCGAAGGTCACACCGATAGGGTTTGGAGCTTGGATTGGAATCCGGCCACTGGTCATGCCGGTGTTCCGCTCGTTTTCGCTTCTTGCAGCGGCGATAAAACCGTTCGAATCTGGGAACAGAACCTCTCCAATAGCCTCTTCTCATGCAAGGTCTATTTCTAAATTTCAACACCGTCGTTTATTTTTATAGCGTATGTTTCAATTTTTTTTTGGATTGTTGAGTAGAATCACTTTTGAATAGGAATTATTGATGAATTTTGTATGTTACCCTACCAATCATTTGAACCGTCATCTTCACTTTGCTCAATCTAAATCTGAAACCTGCAATTCTGTAATTAGGTTTTATGGTGTTCTATTTTGCTGCTCTGTAATCTACATAGAGTTCTACAATCGGTTGTTCTACTGCTCAATTCTGCTACTCGATAATTCAAAACTCTACAATCAATCATTTTTAAGGTAATACTTTTATTTCCTTGTTTGATTCATAACTCTATTTTCTAGGTGGTGAATCGTTCCTTATCTTTGTAGTTTATTGATGCATAAGTATATAATCTCAATTCACGATGAACATCAATTGATTGTAGAAATGCGTTGTTGGATTCATAACTCTATTTGCTAGGTGGTGATTCTTTCCTTATCTTTTTAGTTTTCTAATGCATAAGTATATAACCTTAATTCACTATGACATCAATTGTTCAACAAGATGCCATATTTGACTGCATTTGACTTATACTCTCTTCTTTTCAGAAAAATCTTGGTTAAGTCACTAGTGCCTCACTAACTTCACCAGTTTGAACCACTGGGTAGTTAAATACTAATTCCATTTTGAAGTAAGTTCTCTCACCATGTTCACATTGGTAGTAATTTTATTATTTTTTAAGAGGTAAGTTAATATTTTTGCAGTAGTGTGCATGACTCTAAAATGTCTAAAAACAAGGAAAATTTAGTTTGTAATATTTTGACAGTGTTTGTATGATATTAATTAGTATAAAATTGATTTTAAGAGAGTAAGTAATTTTTTATTATAATAAGTGGTTCTTAACAAAACTCCTTCTACTATTATATGGAAAACATAGGATTTTTTAATAATAAAAACAATAGCATTCATGTGCCTAGGTCACATATAAATATGTGTGTGTGGAACCCGAGCACATCCAAATCAATACAAATACCGGCTATCCTAGAATTTTCTAATCATACTTACAAAATTTATTCCCTTTTTTCTTTAAAAGAAGAATCGTATAAATTTCATTGGAGTAGTTTTTGTTGTCGAGGAACTATTGAAGTAAGTACTTATTATGTATTCATCTTGTCATATCAGAACTAGCATGATGAATGGTCAAATATAAATGAGCGTCAAGTAGTTGAAAGAGCACATGTCCTTGAAGATACCTTCCAAGCCAAAATGGAATGGAAAACATGGTCCGTGATGCATTTGGATATACCCAAAGTACTCTGAATAATCTCAGTCCATCTTCTCTCATATTTCTTTGATGTACATGACTTAACCTTATTACATGTGCCACTTGAGTCACTTTATTTTCACCAGTGGGTTCCTTTCATGTTACGTTATGATTATGAAATTTACTTTCATTGGTAGAATTGATCTTTAACTTTTCATTCCTTCTGGTGTTATGAGTTTCCACTGACTTTTGCACTCTCTCTTTTGAGGGTAAGCTTCTGAGCTTTTCATTTTCCTGCATTTAGGTAAAATTGTTAGTTTACTATTTGGATATAGCGGAATTGATATTAGTGGTATACATAGTGAAAAACCTTGTCAATTTTCAAAGCCTCAAAATATGCAACATTTTGTTCTTCTCTGGCCCTAAGATCTACTCGAATATTTTCATATTGCTTAGCTTTAGAAATTCTGAAAGCCAACCCTTGTTCTTCCAATGTTGTTCGTAGAATTTCTACTAGTTCTGCTAGTGAAACTAGTCCCTCTAACTAATTGTAATTAAAAGAGAATAATAAATGAACGCAGCATTTTCTGTTTCAAATATGAGTATAGTTTATGACTGGAGTTCTATACTTTCAAGTTTGGTGGCAATTTCTTAATGATGATATTGGTGTCCAAAAACGAAATGCAGGCGGTTTTGGAAGAAACACATACTCGAACTGTTCGATCTTGTGCTTGGTCACCTTCTGGGAAATTGTTAGCTACTGCAAGTTTTGATGCCACCACTGCTATATGGGAAAATGTTGGGGGTGATTTTGAGTGTGTCTCTACTTTGGAGGTATGCTACTTCCATGCTGCCGTGAATCTAGTCTGTCTGTTTCTTCTTTCCATTTGGATGTGTATATTCTTTTATCATTGCTGGCTATTTTTTTGATCAGTTTTATTAACTTGCTTTGAGATATATGTAAATTTTATGGACAGGGACATGAAAACGAAGTAAAGAGTGTATCTTGGAATGCATCTGGAACTTTGCTTGCAACTTGCAGTAGAGATAAGTCCGTTTGGATATGGGAAGTGCAGCCAGGCAATGAGTTTGAGTGTGTCTCAGTGCTGCAAGGACATACTCAGGATGTGAAAATGGTGAGGTGGCACCCAACAGAGGATATCTTATTTTCATGTAGCTATGATAATAATATTAAGGTAATCCAGACACTGGAAAAGACTTCTGTTCCTTTAGTGCAGCCATTTTAATTTAATTTCTGTTCCTTAGTTTTACACACTGTGATGACATTATAATGCAATCAAATTTCTTCCAGGTCTGGGCAGATGAAGGTGATAGTGACGATTGGCAGTGTGTTCAAACCCTTGGAGAACCCAACAAGTACTACTTCTTGAACTCTCTCATCAACCTAGATTTTGTGTTTTCTTCTATTTTTAAGCATGATTGTTTAGGTCATACTTTATGTTGAATGACCAATTGTTTAGGTCATACTTTATGCATTCTTCTTGGTCTACCAATATTGAAGGTGAATGTGGTATTTACTGCAATAACTTCAATATGCACAATTGGTTGGGTTGGTGGTTATGCAGTTCCAATATTTGCAAGAATGGTAATGCCTGAGAAGAATTTCAAGGCTGGACCATTTTATTTGGGAAAGGCAAGAAGACCAATTTGTTACATTGCAATCCACACAATGTGTGTTCTTCGTATTTATGGTTGCCATTGGATATAGATATATAATCAATAGTTAATAAGTTACTTGAGTGGTGAAAGAAATCTCATTGACATTGGGCTTGCATCGCTAAACTGGCTTGGAAGTTAAAGAGTGGTGAAAGAGCTTTGTGGTGTGAAATCTCATTGATATTGGGTCTTCCTATCTTAGTCCTTTATTATAGGGAGTGTTAGTTTTTGAACTCAGTTGTAATTGGAGAGTGGCTTTCTAGAATCAGTCAGTTTATTGCATACTCTGAATTCTTTTGAGAATTCTTATCTTCTTTACTTGTACCAGTTGAACCTTCCATAATTCATGTCATCTATCTTTAAATTGTTGACTCTGTCTTAACCCTTTATGCAGGAGAAGAAAGCTCTGAAGGAAGAAAAATTGAAGCAAGAGGAGAAATACACATGGGCTATTGTCGACGGTGTTAAAGAGAAGGTAAAGAAGAGAATGTTGATTGTGAGGAAAACTGCAAGAGAGGAATAAGTTTTGGAAGCCATTTTAGTAAAACTCTTGTAGTAATATAGCTAGTATTATGTTGCAAATACTAGTTATTAGCTACTATGGCTTAAGGGGAGAGTGTGAGTTATAGTTGTGTATGATATAGGGGTTTATATAGTGCTTGTGAGGTTTTACAGTATACCATGTGGGATGAGTTGTATAAAGAAGTAATGGACAAAATGTATAATAATTATAAATTATGAAATGGTACAATAGGAGAGATTTTCCTGCCCCTCTTCCTCAATGATATTAGGACAATGAATTCTTACATGATGTCTTTGGTTTCACACCCAAGAAAAAGCTTAACAATGGTGAGCACAGAATGTCTGGTGGTGAAAAGGTGAGTTTTGTCCTGGTAGTTGTGCTACATAATCTCGTGATTTAGTTCATGACTTTCTCCAGATTTCACTTATTATCTGCTGATCTCCCTAAATTTTTTACATGCAGAGGATGTTCAAGTCACCAAATTCTGTTTTGAACAAGGCTAGGACCCAATTACTTAACAAGCAGCGGGTATTATCGGAGGTTAGCATTCTTTCTATATCAGTTGCATGATTTCATCTTTTCTGATTTATACATGATACAATTCAAAGTCTAAACATTTGTGAAAACCTTCGTTGAAATATATGTTCAATAAAATATGCCATTTATGAAAACTTTGCTGTCACTTATGCAAACATCTGATAAATTTAGATAGCACAAAATTACTTGTATTTGTCCCTTTGGATTTAGTTTGACTGGATTCCATTTTTGTTGAATCAAACAGGGCAGGAACTTCGGGCATTATTCAGTCAGTATGGGAGATGATGAGACATGAGTTTGAGTGGGAACACAATATGATGTAATGCTTTATTTCAGGATTATATTATTCATTTGGACATGTATTTATCGTGTCCACTGTCGCTTTGTTGTATGGAATTGTTTAACTTAATCGTTTGCGAACTAGATTCGGGTAATATCGTACGATATTACTTTAAAACAATACTCCAGCTGATTCTATTCTTATACAACACCTTTTATACCCCTTTTTGGCTTCTTTTATAAGAATATTTTTGTATTGATGTTAAATATTTTTTATTGAAATTATTTTTACTATATTACAAAGTGATAGAAAATAAAACAAAAAATAATACTATAAATAAATATATTAAAGAAGAAATAATTTAAAGAAAAAAAGAACACAAAAAAAAACTATATTTAAAATTTTTTACATAGATAATAATTTAAATAAAAAATATATATAATAGAAAAATAAAAAAAAATCAAGACATAAACAAAAGTCATGGCGACAGTACCGAACCGTCGCCATAAACAATTTAATCAATTTCAAAAGATATTCACGACAGTATCGAACCGTCGCCATCAATAATTAAAAGAAACTCAAAAGATAGTCACGACGGTATCAACCCGTCGTAAACATGAACGACAGTTTTTGTAACCGTCGCGAAATAGGTTGGGGACACACACTTCTGCGACGGTAAAGCAACCGTCGTGGAAAGCAAATTGCGACGGTTTTAACCGTCGTAATCTACAAAAATACCTGTCGCAATCTGCCAATTTTCTTGTAGTGAATCTTCAATCATCATTGATCATTTATCTGAGATTCCATCTTCTTCATATCCCTTACTCTTTATTTTTCTTTTTACTTGTGCCACATGTTTTAGGATCCTGGTTTCTACCATGTCTCTAACATGTATATGGTACATACATCTTTATTGACTGGCCTTAAAATAGGTGTGACTACTACATAAGTCCACTTACGATTGCTTAACATAGCGCTAAATTTTTACCGATTCGGAAAATGATCATTTGTGGTTTAAACATTATGTTTGTAATCCCAAGTTTGGTTTATTGGTCATCTTTATTCCAATAAATATGAAACTTGTTGTTAGGAAGCTTTGATTTTAACAATACTCTAATGAGTTTTCATTATCCTTGGTCTAAGATCATCATTCTATCATCATTGATCATGCCTTGTGACTATTAACAATTAACTTACTAACCATTGACAATTAACTTTGATGTATGCCTTTATCTTTATGCCTTCACCTTTATGTTTTTTATTTTTTATACACTTTTATCTTTAGCATTTACATTTCATGCTATTTGTCTTTTTCTCACTTGAGCATTTATATTTATGTCATTCTATCTATGCTCACTTGAGCATTTATTTTATGTCATTTTATCTTTGCTCTCTTGAGTTTTTATTTTTCTTTTAAATCACTTAATAACCAAATTGAACATTAAAAGACTTAATGTCATTTTATCTTTGCTCACTTGAGCTTTTCTTTTTCTTTTAAGACACTTAATAACCAACTTGAACATTAAAATACTTAAGGCTTGCACTTTTGGTTACTATCCTTGGCATATTGGAGTTGTGGACATCTTGGACTTAAAATTAGAAGCCCATCCTTGATACTTTGATACCTTCAGACCTTTGGACCTTGTGTTATTTCGTTGTCATTTTGTTTGTATTGTAAAATCTTCTATATGCAGGTGTTATTCTGTTGGCCTTAAGTGATCTATATGGCACATGACTCAATATTAAAGACCTTGCTTTGGGTTTTAAAACCTTGGGGTTTCTTTGATACTTATTTGCTTGTGATTTATTTTCACATGAATGATTGGTATGATCTAGGACTATTTGGTACTTGTGGCTTTTAGTCCAAAGGATGAGAATTCTATATTGACTTTATAATGTCAAGTGTT